CCCCCCGCCCCTTGTAAAGACATTTGGAAAGCATAATTTGAGGAAACTTTGTTTCGCAGTCGAGAAAGGACTGGACTTGTTAAAGAGAAAATACTGACAAACAAAAATGCTACTAATATGTACATTTTGGATGGTTTTATTGAAACAACAAAAGTACAAAAGGAATTTTGTTTATCTGATATTGTAAATGCAAGAAAGCCCAAATTATTTTCTCCCCCTTCTGAATTTTGAAAATCGTATGTGCAGTGGTGTTAAAAATATTGTTTTATATGCTTATGACACTTGTACTTTTGTTCATGGAATGCTTAATCTTATTACTGAATAACTTATAACTGGACTGAGAATTTGGTTGTATAATGAAGCAAACAATCACCCCATTTGGGAAAATCCATAGAATTTCTATGTCTTTTCTTGACATGTGAATAAAATATTTGTTTGCTTTTGCATACATGTAATATGATTTTTTTTTTCCCTGTGTATTTTTCTAGCGTTTCAATTTGAATTGCGGTCTAGGAATGCATTTCTATTTTGTCCATGTAACCTCGATTTAAACAGTGCATGACTGTTTACCCCAAGTCATTTTACTATTAGCTCTTATTTCCCGTTTATTGTTTCCCATTTATTTCCCATCGTTCCAAGTGCTAAAACTTTTCACATTGTCCTCATCCATAGATTGATTTGCGTCCGTGTATTTTGCCATGTGTGGCAGAATAAAATCACAACGTATCGTTTGGCATGCGGGTCAAACATTTTTTTAATGTCTAATATATGTATGTATGTATGTATGTATGTATGTGTGTGTGTGTGTGTGTGTATATATTTCTATTTAAAATAACGTAGACTGTAAAAAAAAAAAAAATCTGACGCTTACCTCTAATTTTACATTAAACTATCTGCTTGGTTGCAGTTACAGTATTTCGCCGTTTATGTATTTATACTCGGTTATTCAGAAGTCGCGTTAATTTTTTTGCCAAGAAAAGAGATCGGGTGGGGGGGGGGAATGCTTTACATTAAGTCTTCAAATCGTGAGAACTGCATAGGCCCACGCTCGTCTGATAGCTAGTTTTTCCCCGTGGTAACGACGTTCCATCACGATTGTTCATCGGTAATGCTGACATGGAAATTTAATAGTGATAGTAACTTTCGCTATACATACAATTCAGGACCTCGCCGAACTATGGAAGCTGGGTGAATCAGTATATACCGCATATCTCTGCATACGGGTAACGTTAGAAGGGGAATATTTTACGAAAGACAGAGCAAATTGCATAGAAATTGTTTTCGTAAGACGGAATCAGCTGCCCTGCCACTCCGATTATCGACAAGTAGCGTGCGGGTTAAACATTTTTTGACGTCTCGTATAAATATTATTTTATAGCATGGATATATTACACAGTAATTTTAAATAAATGTTTTAACCTACTTGTGGAAAAGTTGTTAGACGGTTGGATGCAATGTAATATTAACGATGCGGTGATGCTACTTTGTATACGGTAAAAAAATAGCTTACAGTCTTCTCGTCTTTCACGTCTATGTTATTACAGAATTAGTTTGACCAGAGAGTAAAGCAGTGTAAATTATAGTTATTCTCCTCTAGTTTTTTTTCTTTCTTCTTCCTTCCAGTGTTGCCTCTGTTGGTAGTATTTTTAGATTTGGTTTCCAAAGTCTGTAAACGGAGCTGGTTGTACGGTTACCAGGTCGACAGCGGGGCAGTTTACTTTACTACGTACGTAGTATTCCTTCTTTAAATACTTCCGTGCCTTGGTCTTATTTGACTTTGAAGTTTCATGTTTTGGAAATGTATCATTCGAAAACGATATATTCCCTTCAACATATATTGCCAATAGCAATATATCTGTGTCACGTGGCAGATGTCTTAACATTTTGATGACTTGTACACTTATATTTAACAATATATAATTGTTAAATTAGAAAAGTATGTCACTGCGGTGGTGTAAAACGCACGTGAAACATCCAATAATATTTTCAATTCTCGTCTCCTGCCAGTGTTTCCAATCAGATACCCACCTAAAGCTTGATGTCCAGTTAAATGCAGATATATTGATGTCAAATAGGGAAAAAAAACCCAACATTTACCGGTTGTGGTTGTGGTGGTTCAATGAATAGGCTGCCTTTGTTGACACCTGCTCTGTGTGCGTGCGCCTCCTGGGACTGATAAAATAGGAAAGAGGTCTCCAGCTATATAAATGGCAGACATTCTCTCAAGATGTACTACTTTAAAAATTTATAGCGCTGAATGGTTTTAAGATGATACCCCTATTAAACGTAAATACAATTCCGCGTTTATTGTAAATATTACGTAGGCCTATTACTAAATGGAAGCTGCATTATAATGAAATTACATCTTTAACTTTAATAATAGGCCTACGTATCGTTTATATAAGTTTCACAATTACGAATCTAATACTAGTGTTTTGTTACCGTTCCTTTAAATCCATAATAGAACGGGCACTCTGAAGATTACAGTATTGTATGTCAGCATTATTTCTCCAGATTCTCGTTTATTTTGTAAATGGTCGGGGAATTTTCTTTTAAGGGGGCAGTCTCTCTAGGATTTAAACCAGCTGTTGTCAAGTGCTCCGGGGCCCCATCCATTTGCATTGCTAAATAGTCTGTACAGCAGAGAAATGGGGAGAAAAAACCGTTCATTTTGAAAAGGCATTCTTTGCAAAACTGGTCAAACCTATACTGCTTGGGATCGACGAGGCACCAGCTAACCAAAACCAGGTGCTGGTTTTCGCAAGAAGGCGCGCAGACCGTGCAGACTGTGGGGGGCAGATCGCGCAGCGCTCTATTTGGGCTGCGTACAGTAGAAGGAAGCCTGCGAGTTTCCAACTGAAAGGAATTTACGGGTCGGCTGCGGGTCTCTTTCAAAGGAGATCACCCAGGAGCCGTAAAACATGCTGTTTGAAGCCTGCGACCTACGGTCCCGTATGTCTGTGAGGTGGGTTTTATGCTAACTTTTATGCTGAAAACGGAACACTAAATAGAATGAGATAAAGCATGCATTTTTGTTGATCGTTTAAGAACTGAAGCGAATGCACACTACACAAATGTTATTTAGACTGGAGGTTTTAATTCTTTTGTTTTTAGCCACCGAATGCTGTATTGATTTGCAAAGTTAAATTGCGCAATACTCTGAAAGTTGATATTTCCGTATATCTGTTTAATTTATTTTGCAGAATGTTGGCAGTTCTAACCTTGACTTTATTAAGCATACGCTCCGGAAACACGCAGGTAAGCCGAGCGATTCCCAGTATTTAGAGGGAGTTGTCGCTCTGTTATCCAGATGTGTGGCTGGAGTTAATGCAGTCAGTCCCCTGACACTGAGACATTTTAAAGCCCGCTCTGGAAGCTGCAGTCCTCTAGCTGGGCGAATCCTCGAAGTTCTTAACTTTTAGTAAAAAGTGTTAAGATGAACTTAAGCAGCTTTCAATACGCAACAACTTTTTGTAGCATTCTTTTATTTAGACATATGTCTATTTATTCTGGTTATTAATTAATTTTTATTTAACGGGTAAGTCTGCAATGTTTTAGACTGCATGTCTGCATTATTCTGTCAATCTTTCCAGACCTGTACGGAGGGCTTTATCTACGACCGTCGTATCAGGCAATGTATAGGTAGGTGACTACGATATTTATCATTTCATATGGAGTTGTGGTGGTGTTCCTTATGATTTCTTGTGCACGCTCTTTTAGACGTGGATGAATGCCGGACGCCGATGAATCCCTGTCGCGGAGAAATGCGCTGCATTAATCAGAATGGAGGTTACCTGTGTTTGCCACGCGGGATGTTTAATCCGCCGTATGCCAGGACTCCTCTTTCTGATTTATCATACCCTGAATCACCTGCACAACCACCTGCACAATCACCTCCACGCTTCTCCGACACCTACCCTCAAGCGCCAGTACCTGCTGCCCCTCCCAGTTACCCCATCGTAGGCCGATCTGCCCCTTGTATCTTGGGATATACACTTGGGGAGGACGGCACGTGCGTTGGTGAGTTACTCCATTATTCTAATTATTATATTAATTAATGTTAAACAAAATAACTTCGGTTAAATAAAAAATATCAATATAAACTCATGTTGAGTAGTCATTTTATTTGTATTAAAGTAAATAAGGCTTTACAGTAACCCGTTTTAATAGAAACAGCCTATCAGGGGTAGATACGATTTTGCATTGTTTGTTTTTACTGTTGTCTTTCACTCGAGTAGTTTAAGGGTGTTAGGCCGTTTTAAAAAAAAATATTTAAATGCCCTCCAATTTGAACACAACTTCCATTTTGTGCAGACCCGTGAATGAACATATTAATTAACACTTGAATAAAGTAATTTACATTTACATAGTTCTTTTGGTGTTCTAATAACGGCACTAAGCAAAGGCACTGGATTGAAATCGCATCATGATGCGGGCCATGGCTTTGGTTGTACCCTATTATTTAATGCTATTAGCCCATATTTTCAGGAGTCCATATGTCCTGCAACATCAGAGCTAGCAAATGGATGATTTTTGGAACGTGGGGTTTATAGTTTTTTTCTACATAACCACAGAGCCAATGTATTTTAGATTACAGCATAAGATTTATAAATGAAGGGGATGGGAAATGCTTGACTGTAGGCCTCATTTTAGCTACTTCCTCATAGCATCTATTGTGTCCTTAAACTAAGGAAATTTCACAGACCTACCAGACTGAAATGGATTCTGACACCCAATGCAGATGACATAAAGGAGCTACACGAGTATCTTAAAAAAAGAACATTGTACTTTTGTATGAAGTACTTTGCTCCTGTCCCACGATTTACAAAAGAAATTCCTCCTTTAGCATCCATTTCAAAGGTGAATATTGGAAAAAAATGCTACTTATTCCCGAACAGCACACATTCACATAGAACCTTTACATGAATAGGCCTAAGAGTTAAGAATATTATTTGCTCTCCTTCACCTAAGCCTTTAATCCAGT